CTATGGAGATCCTGGACACCGATGATCAAGATCTTTAGATCTCCATTCATTTCAATAGCTTACTTCACCGACGATGCTTTCTTCCGCGTACAAAAAGTCCTGCTATGCGGTTTTGAGCTTGTCAGTCTTCAGTTTTCACGTCCACCAGAGCCAAAGGTTTTTTCCCCAATCCCAACATCCACTTTTCCTCCACCTTTAACCTGTCTCTCTCGCACCCACTTTTATCCCACTCCCTTCCCCACTTTCGTCGCCAGCCCTCGGCTCGAATCCCGTATGTACACGCCCCCAGCTTTTCATGACGACCCCTCCACGACCTCCATATCCAGTACGGCAACGGCTTCAACTTGATCCAGAAGCTGTACGGCGCCCATACCAAGAGCTTTCTGCCGTACCTCATTTACACTCGGTCCGCTTTGAACTTGATCTTCGATGATTGGTGCGCACACCACCGCGTTTTATCACCGTCACGCTCCCTGTGACTCACATTGAAGACGAACCCTACAGTGTAGATGATCTTAAGGATGTGATCTACTCCCGCGCTGGGTTACCACGCTGCAGCTTCTGGTTTGGCCTACCAGCCCTACAAGACTACACAGTCTCTCAGATCCTTTATACAGTATTCCTGGAAGACCTTGTGTTCTACCACATCAATATCCATCAGGCTCGACCACCAGGTCATGGACTCGAATTCCCCCGATCAGTCGAGAGACCGGGATCGACACCCTACCGTGACCCTGAACTACCAGCACAGACATGGGCCGTGCCTCCTCGATTACACGATGATGCTTGCCAACAGCTGCGAATATCTCTGACGGCTTTTCCATGTCAGTATGAGATTTGGACCTTTTCGTAGACCTTTCACCCTGACGCTTTCGTAAAAGGTCCAACTGCTACACCACTATATCATTTCCCCTCGAATTCGCAGTGATCCGGTTCACATGCGTTCCTAGCTATCCACGATGTGACCTGTCACAAACCCTCCCTGGGTTTCACTTCCATTAGCCCATGTAGGGTGATCACAGGGCTCAAGATTCTGAAGAACTCCCGGTTCATTCTCGCCTCGGACTCGTACCACATGGCGGAACACAGATTTTGGATCTATGCCCTCGAACAACGAGAAGGCCATTTGATGGCGGTACTCGCATCTGCGGCTGCTGTGCGCCCCCCAACTTTACACCAACCTGCAGATTCTGGACCAGCTACGTGAAACAGCTCTGTGGCGTGATTCTATCACTCACGAGCTTCCATCATCCCTTGGGTACCACATCAACAACCTCCGACGTCATGTCGAAGCCGCTTACGAACATCTCCAACAAGCGTCTACTCATGTGGACAACATCGGTGGCCACCCAGAACATTACACCGATTCTTTGGCCCGCACTGACGGCTATGACACCATGCAACCTTTTTATCCCAAAGGCCAATCCAAGGGCAAAGGGAAATCCAAATCCATGGACCCGCCACCCACTGCCACTGCCGGAGTCCAGACCGATCCCATCCCCCTCCACCTTCCACTGTCTCCCATCCAACCCCGCAACCTTCCACTCCCGATCAACCCTTCCCCACTATTCCAGAAGAGCCAGCTTCCACTACCCCGACCGGGGCACAGCCAACAACACCCTCCGACCCCAACCAAGCCGCAGCACATGCTCCAATTGGCCCCCCCCAATAAGCAGCCCCCGTCGGCAAATTCGCAAGCCTCCCTCCAGCCCTGGGACGCCCTTCCGTCCCTATCAGATTTCCAACGTCCTCGCACATCCACCATTCACATTCCGACAGATCTACTGACCTTTTTACAAGCTCCACACCCGAAGAGCACTTCACCCCGGTCATCCCCCTCGCTGGCCCAAGCCATCCAATGCAGCGCAGTTTTCCCAATGCCGACGCCCACCTCGCCGCCACCGACGACGTCCTTGGCACCACTCGATCCACCCTATTCTCCCGCACCTCAACCCAGTGGCAACCTACCCTCAACTGGCCATACATCTCACAGCATTTGAAACTCAAAGCAGACGGTTGGCAATTCAGCAGACACCGGGCTCACTTCTTTCCACGCCTGGCCAACCACTACCGTCTTTTTCGACGACCGCGATGACGTCTACATTCCACTGGCCAACCCACACTTCACACTTCACACAAACTACACGCACTCACAGTCCTACGGGACCTCACCAAACACACACGAGCATCCTTCGATGCCGCTCGACATCTACGTTCAGGCCAATACAGACCTTGAAGTCTACGCCATTCGTCGCATGGCCACCAGCCTCGAGGAACACCTCCTCAATCAAGCTCTGAAGAATCGCAACCTCACCCCACCGAAGGGCAACCTACCCCTGACCATTCCCGTCCTCGCCCATCCCAGCTTCCAATCCGACCTCCAACGCTGGCTTGCCCAGCTCCTCAACCATCACAAACAGTTCGCCATCCCCCTTCACCTTCACTTCCCACATGCCGCGTACGTGAAGCAGCTCACCCCACCCTGCGCAGTCGCCTGCGCAGCCACCGGCGATGGGAAACCTTATTGGGCAGCCCTCCTGACATCGATCACCTTCCTTGTGGGTGTGATCATCTACGAAGCCTTCTTCAACCCACTTTCGACGACGCTACGGGTGACCATTTGATCGTCACCTTCGCCGATCTACAACTTCCAGTCCACCTCCGTCGCTTCTTGAATGCACACATGAACAGCACTTTCTTTCCGACCAAGCAACGCTACTTCGACTCTTTTCGGCGAAACTTCGTCAAATGGCTTCGACATCATGGACTTCCGACCACGTTATCCCATCACGCCGACTCTTTCCTCACTATCCAGTGGAACCACCACAACCTCCAGCTTCACCATGAGGACCGATTCACCGCCAGATCCATCAAACAGCTACAAGAATTCTTAGGAGACAAAGTTGTCCTCCATCATGCCGATCATGAACTACAACACCTCAGGGTCTTTTGCCCCCACACCTACTTCCGTGGATGTCTCGCCACATGGCAATCACCAGAACTTTTCCGACCATTGCCAGATGATACAGACCAGACCATCTCCAACATCATCCAACACACATACCCTGCACATCTTCGCCAAACATATAAATGGGGCTTCAACACCAAGCTCAAGATGCCATATGGAGTTGTCCACTTGAAAGCCAAAAAACAACGGTGCAAAGGACACACCATCATCTCCTATTTCAAGTCCTACTACGGCCCACTCTTACGCGTCGCCTCTAATGTCCTCAACACTATGATCTATCGTCTCCTACCTCAATCACCAGGACAACTCTCCATTCCCCAACTTTGGCACCATTTCCACCACTACCTTCACACCACACCAGTCTCCGTGGATGTCCATACGGTCAATGATGACCTGGTCGGCTTTTTCAATTCCGTCCCACAAGACCGCCCGATCCAAGCCGTTCACAGCCTCGTCAACCGCTGGCAACACACTTTTGACACACCGACGCTGACGGTGGACACACATACCACCGGAGACCCAATCCAGCTCGCCCACATTGGCCGTCATCACCGCAAACACCCTAAGCAACGAACATTGCACACTAGCGACATTACCACGATTGTAGCCTTAGCACTTGATTCATGCATTTTCAAGGCATGCAACTCATACTTCCTGCAGGTTCGAGGAGCCGGGATTGGCTCTCAGCTCTCCCCCGCCCTGTGCAATGTCGCCATCGCCCTCATCGAACATTCCTGGCACCAACTTCACCACTCTTTGACAGACCACACCGAGATCCATTTCCTCTACTACCGGTATGTGGACAATCGCTTCATTGCATTCAACCGCACTTTCCTCAAGCACCTCGCCATCCAGACGTTGATCCACCCGGACTTCTATGGCAACCCGTGGAACTGGAACCCGTGGGAGACATGCACTTGCTGGGCTTCGAGGTTGACTTACATCAACGCGCAATCTCCTACATCCCACCGGACGTTCCATGGAAGATACGCGATCATGCCTCAGCCGGGTCCACACGACTACGACTTTCCGGTCTACATTCACGAGCCCACCTCATCCGCAAGTACACCTACCCGTCCTCGGCTGTCGAGCGAGCGCTCGCTCAATTAACAGACCTATACGTCCAAAAAGGACATGCGATTCGCAGCTGCCGTCAAGCCTGGCAAAAAAGACCAGGCATATGCTGATCTTGTGTCCCCGCAGCTCTCCCGTCACCTCCATCCAGAGTGCGCCGTCCCCGGCCCTCTGTGTGTGTCGCAACCTGTTTCCAAGGATCTCATAACTAATCCTGACACAGATCGCTGGACTACTTTATGCCATCGTTTCACCCTGTTCCTGTTCTAGTTTATGCAGCAGGGGGTAGCGGCAGATCATTTGGGACCGCTACCAACGAAGATGCCCATTTGACCTGGTGACATCGGAGTTGGCCACTCCGACGTACCTGCGCCAACTTCTAATCGACTCATGACTTCAAAAGAGGTGTCAAACATTGTTCAAACATCTCCAATTCCATGGACTTCTTCGCCTTTCGGTTTGCACTTTTCCTTTTACCAGTCAAGGTCTACAATGCAGCGGGTAATGTAATCACCTAGAGTGGGACTTCGTACTGATACTAGCTCTTGCGAGCAACCATCTAAGTGTATGCGTGGTTGACCGGGTTGAAAATTGAACCCCACTTAGATTCTAGACGATTCTAGACAGTCCTCCCCGTCCCCCGGAAGCCGGACACCCTGTCTGTTTTGGGCTGGAGGTTGTGTCAGCCAAAAATCACGCAGATGAGTCAAGGCTAAATAGACCAAAGGACTCAAGGCAACAGGATCGTTTGACAGCACCAACAAGTTGTCCGTTCACGAAAGTTTGGGTATGCCGAGTCGTAATTGCTTTGTGCAATGTTCTGAATGCCGGGAGCACAGTCTGCCCGCAACAGAATAGTGTGCCTTCAGTGGCCAAGCTATTTACTATTTACTGTATGTTTTGCATATGGTAATGGATTTGCCTTTGTTTGGTGCTCTAAGCAGCGTGATTTGTGCAGGTGGGGCTACGGTCGAACATGGAAAGTTATTGACCCTCCTTTGCACAGCTCTTCACTCACAGTCATGTGCCTTGACTTGGACGACTTTGCGACTTGAAAAAATGGATCAACCAAGACCAACCAGGATTCAGCACCTGTGCTGGTGAGGTGCAGCATCAAGCACTTGCAGGATGTCCTGCCGGGTGAGAGTCAGAAGCACTGCCAGTATCTGGGCTCCAACATGACTTGGTTACTGGAATTTCAACTCCACTGCCAGTTTCATTATGCCAGCCTGAGGTGTCAAGGACAGGTGATGAGCAAGCACTCCTTCAGGTTGGCACAGCTCATGAGCAGGGCAAAGTTATTTTTTCTGAGGGGGCCATGGAAGAATGTGGAGAGGAGAGGCAATCAAGTGGACAGTGGACAAACCAAAAAAATCCTGTCCTGTCCTTTCATGTCCTGCAGTAGCGAATCAACAGCCTTCACAGAAGGTGGCATCTCCAAGACCCTTGGGACTTGCATGCTGCCGTGTCAGCTTTGTTATTTTCTATTCTTTTTCTTGGTGCAACTCCCCAACTAGTACATGCCTTGACATCTTAGGATTGCGCTAAAAGATTCTGACTGGATCTTCTGCTCCAACCAATGGCAGGAATGCCAGTGCAACAATCACGTGAGGCCGCTTGATGACATTTGCTGCGTCCTTTTGCAAAATTTGAAGCCTTGACCAAGGTGGGGGAAAGGAGAGAGATGGAAATATCTTAGCCCTAAAAAGCTCGGCTCTTTGTTTTCGGTGAAGCCGCTTGGTTGCAAGGATATGTGATGTGTGTGTGTGTGTGCGTACATGTTTACATACGCATAAATTAGAGTCAAGCCCAATCAGCTGTAGAGGAACAGGTGCATACCTTGTTGTGTGGAGTCGCAGGTGTGATGTGAATGCCCTTGGAGATCCTGTGCCGGGAGAGGACGGGAAGCACTGTGAATGCCTCGTGGCACGCGGGAGACGCTTGTCAAAAAGCAAGGCAGCCGGGTGAATATCAAACAGTAACCATATACGTGCCAAAGAGAAGGACAAGCTTCACGTGGTTCACTTAGGCCTCTTCGAGAGAGAATTGAATCCGCCCAATCCCTAGCAAACATTTTGCCAGTAGTATGAGAGAAATGTTTGGATAGCTGTCATGTGTTTAGCCTCATGCTCGGCCAGCTGTTTAGCAGCTTGTTCAGCTTGGGCGCAGTTCATTGAAGTTTCAGGATGTTGCTGAGCCAGAAAGCTGCAGATAGCTACGGCGCGAGAATCATTGCTTCCTGCGACATTTTTGAGGCAATTGTCAGCTTGACAGCTTGACCTGCTTGACCCAAGTTGACCCAAGATCTGAGTTTAACATGTTTTGCCACGAAGGCTGGAAAAGCAAATGGTCCCGAGGCCGAGGGGCTTGTTAGCAAGTGCTGAAGGCACAAAAACAATTAAAGTTGTGGGTGTTCAGTGCTTTGAAAGCTCGTGTCCGTTGGAGGGCCGAGCGCAGTGGCAAGCAGTAGAGCCATTCTGCTCAAAGGCTTGGGAGGCTGGCGTGACAATTTGTTTCCGAACAGAAAAGGGACTTCTATTGCAAAGCTTCTAAGCGGGGCAAACTCCAAGTCCAAATGCTTCGGTCAATGACCAAAGGGTCTGTAGAGGGTGCTCTATGTAGGTTCGATTGAGGGGTCACAAGGAAATTCTTTCCACAGCAAGCAGCAGCCTCCATTAATGCCATGTGTGTTTGCGCCTCGCCTTGCATATGACACCACCTGAGATTAGGTGCTTTCTGCCATGTGCAGCTTGGTAATCCAGAAGCCCTAATGTGGTGACATTTGTATACACTTGTCACGAAAGCTAGCACCAGCTAGCTGGAGTTGTCCTTGCTTTAGCAAGTGAGGGGCTGGAATCCTCGGGATCGCCGAATCACGTGAAAACTTCATATGTAGGGGGGGCCCCCCCCCCCTGTGGCTGGGAAGAATGCGCCCTATGAGGCGCACAGCTGTGATAAAGATTATCAAACGTCCAAAGCATTTCTCCATCCCGCACTAGCACGCTCAACTCAAGCCGAACGCGCTGTACTCTGACAGCTGCATCGATCAGCACTATTCTATTTGGTTCAGCTTGGCCGGCTCGGGTTTCAAAACAGTTCTTGTGGTTTCGGAACGCAAGTTTGGACGGCTTGGTTTTCATGTGCTAAGTTAGCTAGGTTAGCTAAGCTTTAACGTGAACAATGCCGGCCTACATATGGCAGTCCCATTCGTCGTGTCTGGGCATGAAGGGTGCATGCGACAAAATGCTTTCTTTTCTCACCGGCTCTCACGGTCTGGAGGGATCCTGTGTCGTTTGACACTCGTTGGTCCTCTCGTGAAAAGGGTATCGAAAACGATGGACGATCCTGGAAAGGAATTTCTCTTGTATCGATGCCCAGTGGTGACGATGGTTGTTGACGATCTTTGTTTCTTTCCGCTTTTCAAGAAAAAATCGGTCCTGGTACACCTAAGGTGTTCCTTGGATCTCGGTCGCCGAAGAGCGCCGTGCCGTACGTGACCACGGAGGCCCAAAAGGAGATCTGCCTGGTCGTCGAGGAGATCTCTCTCAGTGGATGTTTTCATCCAAGCCTCGCTCTTCCACTCATCGACACACTTTTGTGGTCCACTGAACTTTGTGAAGTCTGTTTCACGCAGTGGCAGCCCTACCGAGAAAACTGTAGGCTAGAGACTGTTTTGCGCTATTCATACATATGGTGACCTGTCCGACATCCGCGGGCTTGCCACAGCGATCAGGTCAAGGTGCGCTTCCGCATTGACCGCAAGAGCAACACAAGCTGAACTGCAAGACTGCACATTTGGCAGCTGCGGTGTGTCGAGTGGTCATTTCTTCGGAGTTTGTAGAGAGATTCTACCGGGTTAAGTTTGGACAGTTCAAGTCTGACAGAAGTCTTGTCGTTTCATATAGTTTTGGGTCCAGACATTGCAACTGGTATAGGTATAGTCACCTGGCCCGATGTCTGTGCCCACCTGTTACTCACTGTATCACACATGCACTTTTCACATAAACTCGGCCCTCCATTCGTCGACACACTTCTGCGCTGCCTCATGTGAGACAAACTTAATTCGTGCCACGCCATGATGCGCGCGATCATGATACAAATGCTGCACAGAACCTCAGGCGCCAAACGCACAAAATGCGACAGCTTCTGGTTCTGAGCTGAGCGGGGAAGCGCGCGCCCAGCATTAGTTGCACGATGGCGCAATGAAAGAAAAGAGTATGTCCGTATTCCGTATCGTTTGGCAGACTAACATCGAAGGACAATGACTGCAGACTTCAGGTCCGCAAAAATTTGTGAAACCTGTTGCGACTCAAACATTGTAATTAAACCTGAACACGAACCTGAGCCAAGCAGCCACAGAGACTTTCAGCGTCGCTGCGAAGACGCCATGTCGGCTGCCAACACTCCTTCACCACAACCTTCCTTTTTCCTCCAGCCTCTGGTGCACGGCGGCCGAGTTTGCGCCGTCGGTCCCAACAAACAGAATGGCATCGCCAACCAAACAGGAACTATACTGCTGGAATCCAATGCGTTTGACCTATCTCTTTCAGAAGCCATGGGGAACCGGAATGGATGTGTTCGGGAGAGGTATTGAATGGTATATATACCGTATATATCGATTTTCAAACGCGGATGGTCATGGAGGCGTGTGATCGGACGATGTAGTCAATAGGTCTTCATGTATTGCCCGAGTCATCAACCGATTGATAAAAACAAAATACCTTCAAAAAATGAGTAGTTGATAGTCCAAAACATGTCACTCACAGGGTCTATGTATATACATGAATAATTCTGTATATATACATATAAACATGTATATAGATATGGTGTTTATCCGTCCGCAGAAAATGGCACCTTTTTCATATCTCATTTAGACAGATGATTTCGACTTCAATATGTTTGTGAGGGAGTAGCGTTGCAAGTCTGTGACACCAAGAAGAGCCATCCCTTTCATTGTCAGTTCGCCCTGCCAGCCGACGATTCCAAGCCTTATCTCTCTTTGGCGAACGGCTTCGATCCTGTCAAATGAATGCCGCGGAAACTGTATATAGGTGTGAGGCTCGAGACACACTCTCCCCACGTCATTCCCGCTGCGCAAACATATCACAAAACACTTCTCTTGCTCTAAGATGACAATCTTTCAGTAGGCCACTTGTGCCACTTCACGAATTATATCCCTCTGAGCTTGAAATTCCGCACTACAAACTGTAGGAAACCTCTCCGACGTACGCCCGCATTAGGCTCTCCTTCTTTATGGTCGTCGGACTCGTCGGGTCCACCATCGGTTCCTGAATCACCTGGGATTTCAAATTCTCACATGGACACGCAATGGATTAAACAATGAAAAAGGAACAAACCACCGTTGCAAAACCACTGGCGATCACAGCCTGACCACGCCTTCTTTCACATTGTGTCTTGGCGAAAGAAAAATAGACTGCCCTTCGTACAGTTACCCCGTGTTGGTCCTATATAGTACACGCGCGCACCTACGTGGTTGGATGTGTGTTTGCGCGCGCGTGTGTGCACATGCGTTCCACGCTGTTTTCCTGACGGGTATTCTGTCAACTTTCTGCCTTTCTGCCCTTCAGGCCAGGTCTACTGCAGTAGCAGTAAAGCGCTAACTTTTCGTGTGAAAACATTTGTATAAAGCTCCTTCGCTCTTCCTGCATGTGTTTCGCAACATCTTCCCACTGTGGTGTGCTGTGTCACCCCGTTGGAGGGCGCTGACTTAAGTGAAGATAATATTCTCATTGCGGTGTTGTATCGCAGCTCACCACCAGTTTGGACAACAGCAACGGAGACTGACAGTTCTCTGCTAGTTCTTAGCTTTGATGGGTTTGTTTTTGGTTGTAGGCTTGACTCACACTCCTTCAAGCACCGCTGACGGCGCAATATTCAAATCAGAAACACGCCACCTCCCCACTGACATGCGCAGGAACCCTCAAGCGCATTGACGCGCCAGCTTTTTCTCCGTTCACAGGTCTTCAACGCTCGTCAGGATATCTTGGCAGGTTTCCGCATGTACACGCCTGCCCGGGACAACCCAGGACGCCGCTCTAAAGTGAAAGGCGTGCGTTTTTTTGTACGTTGAGCTGCTGGTTTCTCATGTTCAATCCTGCGTCAGCAACTGTCCGCTTCTCCGATTTTCTTTGGTCTGCAAGAGGCAAGTCAACTTGTCGTTGTGAGAGCCACTCCGCCCACGCACTTGTTGACCATAGCGGATTGCCCAAATAGCGTGCCAGAAGATGCCCTTCGGGCATTTGACGCGATGTAGGGCTATGCAACGCCACCATGTGAGGGATTAGCTTGCCAAGCTGTTGGATGCGGAGCTTCAGGGCAAGAGTGCTGCGATGCATTTGCTGGACCTGGCGGAACCAAGCGTTGATCTCCGCATGCAACGCCTCATTCGAAGCTGTACCAGACGGTAAGAGTACCCGGACAGCTTCGGGAAGGAAGTGCCGGTAGCGCAAGCAGTTGAACAACCATTCCATGCGGTCACCCGCAGTCAGGTTGTATAGGATGGTGGCAACTGTGATCTTTGTGCCGTCAATCTTTCTGGCCAAGTCTTCACTGTGAACTGCTGCCAGAGCAGCTATGGCTTCCACGAACTGCAAGCGGGTTGGCCACACCTTCAGGGCATCCGAGGCGCTCAACACCTGTTGTGCTTTTCGTGCTGGCATCGACCCTGATTTAATTTCTTCGCGAAGTTTTTGCTCTTGGCCAGTGATTCTTGGACAGTTGTTGCCCTCAAACATGGGCCCCCATATGTTGGCCGTGATATCAGGGTCTCGTCCACAAAACTTGGCCATAAACTTTCGCAGCGTACCAGATCCGGCGGAACGATGCTTGCCAAGCGCCTGCTCGTAGTGCATGCAGGCATGAGTAGGGTCTAAGGACACGCTGGTTAGTTTGCACAAGGTGCCCTTCAACTCTTGAAAGAGCTTGCCTGAAGGGTTGTCAACTGCAATGTGCTCAACCTGCTGTAGCCCTCGCTCAGGCAGCGCTGATTGCAAGCAGTGCAGTATGTGAGAAGGCCCTTCACCAGCTGCAGGGATCAATCCTAAGACAGCGCCGCTCCGACCTCTGATGGAAATCACTCGGGTGATGGAACTCTCTCCTGTGTATGGGAACTGCTGCCGAACACTAGGTGGATCATTGAATTTGGGCTGTCCGAGCAATGATAGACAAACACGAAAGGTGCCATCTACATTCCGCATGGTCCATTGCCTTCGCGAGCAGGCTCTCTGACAAATTTCTGCAAACGGGCGAAGAAAATGCATCCTCGACCAAAGGCCACCAATTTGAAGGATGCAAAGGCAGGAGGTTTGTCAAGGGGTTGCGCTGCGCTGCAGAGTCCAGCAAGAGCCGTTTGATTGCAGACTTGACCTGATCAGGGGCAGTCAAACTGCATATGCACAAGTAGACGGCTACAGTTATATATTAAACCTGTATCAATGAACAGACAACATGAAAACCTTTTGGCCATTACCTTGCCT